AACACTGTATTGCAACCAAATAGGTCTTTGAGGAGGAATAGAGAATCATCCTTTTTAAAATGAGATAAAAGTTATACTTGAAGTGTCAGTTCAAGTGAATAATTTGGCAAGGAAGCAGGGCTCTAAGCTTCAAACAATTCTTGTTAGCAGAGGTTCTTCATAGAGAGTTTTATTATTTATCATGAGGTAGCTAATAAAGTAAATTGTGATCTGTGAGGTTAACAGATTTTAGCAGCAGAGAAACCAAAAGCTTCAAATTTTGCAACATTGCCCTAGAATTATAGAGCCGTGAGAACTGGTACATGCACAAAAACAAGGATCTGGATCTCCAGCTTGTCTCACCAAACCTGTGCCAAAATATATATCATCTTTAATAAATCATCACCCAAGCCCAACCAAGATTCATTGTGCTCAAACTTATTTTACATTTGAAAGTAACAAAATATTTGTAATTGCCTTTTAATTCAATAAATTATTGTTCATTATAGTTTCTCCTGTGTTCTACTGATGGGTTAGTAGTTAATTTACTGAGGTTTCTAATGTTTATTTGGGGGTCGGGGAGAATTAGGGGAAGTTGAAACCGTATAGCAATCCTTGTTAAATTAATAAGAATAGGAGAATGAGGGCCACATTTTCTACACATGGTACAGAGAGAATTAGCTTCAACTTGTTTATAATCTGTTGCTATTTTTAACAATTTGTTTCACTGATTTTTCAAAAGAAGGAGGAAGGGCTTGGGTTAGAGAGCTGAGAAAGTTTTTCTCAGGAGGCAATTGGAGTGAAAGATTTAAAATTTGTCAACAAAACACTACTTGTGGAGAGCTGTATCACTGTTCAATTATGGGTTCAAGTAGACTCAGAGCAGCTTTTATAAGCTACGTTATGGGTTGGGAGGGAATAATTCTTTTTACTGCAATATAAAAAAATCCATTCTAGTGTAAATGGTAACAAGCACCAAAGAGCTACTCCTACTAATCTGGATCCCTTGTTCTTATATTATAGATGTAAATGAGCATATCTTGGATTTGCTGCACATTATGTGAGAAGTATTAAGTTATATCTGCAGGTTAATGTGGCCTGATGGTTGAATAAAATTGAAGCAGAACTGCCATATTCCAACTTTTCTGCTATAGTTGTAGTAGCTATATTTATTTGCTTTCTGGAGATGGGAATTCTTTGAATGGTGAGCCTATTTATTGAAAAGAAGATATTCTTGGTAATAATGGGCTAAAATCTAAAAAGTACAGTTTATATTCTTAGAAATGAAATGATTATAGGCCCAATCCAATCTCATCAAATAGAAACAAAGGGAAGTGTTGGGGGTGGGGTGAGCCGACTCTGTTTATACAGGTTTTCACATGACCTTTCTTTTAAAAAGTGCACGGAATGCATCCAAAACAAATAATGTTTTGTTGGATGAGAAGACCAAAAGGAAAATCCTAGAGAAAGGAGGATGGATGATCTTTCTTTAATGTCAAAACTGACATAAACACACTCCCCTTCCCCCACCCTTTTGCTCAAGATAATTTTCTCAACAAGACGCAGATTGCTTCAGTCTTTGCCTATCACCCTTTGAAGCACTTTCCTTATTATTAGGAGTGGGGGCAGGGTTTCCTTTGAGGATTTTTACAGCAGTGAAGAGTTCCTCCTTTAAATACTTTCACATGATGAGGGAATTCTGCTTTCAAAGTGCTGTCATCACTGTGGCTTCTCTGCCATAAGACAGTTGATTCTTGGGTGAAGGCCCTTCTTAGTTTGATTGTCATTAAGGACTTACCTTTCTGATAGATTCTCATTTGATAGAGCTTCACTTTTTCAGAGACCTAGCAAAGCAACTCAGCATTCTTCTTTGTTAACTTCATCGGTGAAGTTAGCCATGATTCCCTTTTGAAATGTGTTCTATCACACAGGGTTATACGTCTTCAACATGGTTTCTCTTGTTGATCTCCACTAATCAGTATTTGGGTTGACATATTGAGTATTCCGTTCTGAAACTGCATTTCTTCTACAATGCAAAGGGACACTGTGAATTTCAGGTTTCTAAAATACTAATTTTTATTTTTATTTTTTTAAAGTGTCTCTTCTAATGTTTAAATAATGCCATGGTAAACAGCAAATACATTGTTCAAGTGTCAGCAGTTTCCCAGAAACATTGAACTCTTTTGAGAACCCCTACTCTGTTTCACCCCACCTCACTCTCCTCTATTCTTAAATACAATCTTCTGGAAAATTCTGTAAGTATTTCATTCAAGTAGACAAAATGTATAGGGGTATGGTTTAACAGCTCGTTTGAAAGCAGTTCTTCTCTTTTAAAAGCTTTGGTAGGCAATGATTTATAATTATTAGGAAAGAGTTAGAATTAAGAAACTCCAAATATAATTGACAGTTTTTTCAATGTTACTACTTAAGGGTAAGTTTCTAAGCTTTCGTGGTTGTTTTAGATAAATGAATGAAAAATTATGTCTCAAACTAGATTATTACATTGTTTATATCAGCACTCTTGGACTTTCTCTTTGAACACATTGGTCATTACAAGGTGAAAGAATCCATGTTGTTTAGGACACATTAATTGTCTGCTTCCACCCAGAGGCGCCAAGTGCAAAAGTGAAAACTATCAACTAATTCAGACAGGACAGTAAACTTATTTATTAAAACCTGTGGCCTCCATCCTGCAGAGTGTTCAAATGAAAGGTCTTGCAGCCTTTTACTGAGGAAGAAATTGGAACATAAGAAGAGACTCTTAGACTAAAGTCAAAATACCCAGCTTCTAGTTTTAGCTCTGCTACTTACAGCCTGTGTAACCCTGGCAAATAACTTGTCCTTCTGCTGTCCCCCTCAACCCCACCAAAACCTAGTAAAATGAGTGACCTAGATGAACTTCATGTTTCTACCATCCTAAATACATAATAAGGCTACTTCACCACCTACATGGAGAGGCTCCGTTGCGATGATTGAGCCAAGTCGGATACTGCAGTGAGAAATTAGCATTGATATTTCTTAATCTAGTCTGTGAAAAAAGGAGTATATTCTTTCTCTTTCTTGTAGAACTCTGTGATATACTATAATTACTCATCCCACTTGCTTATTTAAAGCTAACTGGAAATCAATTTAATAAACATTTGAGTTGTGCCTTTGTGCTAGACACAACAGTAGGCAGTGAGAATACTCAGTTCAATGAGTTTAGACTCTTCCTTCAAGGTGCTTAGCACCTAGTAAGGGAGGAAAGCATGAAAATAAATTGTAAATCTACTGTGACACCTAGAACAGGATAAGTAAATATAAGATGCAGTGTAGCATAGAGGGAAAATATATGTATATATGTTTTTCCATACCTACTTTCAATTCTAGAAATAGGAAAATGTGTGTGTGCCAGGGTAAGTAGCTTTATGGTACATTTAAAATGACAATAACAACAAAACTCCTAAATCTCTTTACCTGTTTACTACTGAATCAAGTATCCCCCCCCCCCACAATATTAGCTGCCTTAAACTACAATCAAATGAGTTATGCCATGGAAGATTAAAAAGGAAAATACAGAATGTTTCCTTTCTTTTCATAGATAAATAACTTTATTTTTCAATGTCCTCAAAGTATCTCCATTACACCTGTGTTCACTATCAACTGGAACTTCTGTCATTGAACAAAGAACAACTTAATGTGTCAAGTAATTATTATAAACCAAATATTACAGCTTAGAATATATCCAAATTCTCTTTAGGATTTAGAAAATAGGGAGAGATGAGTTTTCTTTAAAATGCTACTCTGCATAATTGATATTTATGAAATGTTATAGTCTGGAAAGTTACGGTTTTCCTGGTGATTTGTAACAATCTTGAGCTCAAATCAAGGAAGTGGAAAGTGTTTAAACTCTTGGTATTAAACCTATCACTGATTATGAAAGCAATATTCTTGCATAGTTGAGGATGAGGGAGCTTGGGGGAGTTTCTTATAAAAACTTGGCCTGAGCTAATTTGTTTTGTTTGAAACTGGACATCATATTGTTGAAGTTTGCATTCTGTTTTCTTTCAATAGGTATATTAACACAAACCACCGTATTTTTACATGGCTTCCTCCTTTCTGTAGGAATAAAGTTGGCTTGTGAAAAGAAAAGAAAGTTGCACCAGCAATTCAGCAACATCACACCTCTTTCATCATTTTGGGGATGCAGGCTTCAGTTCAGTAACTCCAGACACATTTTTGGGAAATGTAAAAACATGCCTATGAGCACTGAACATAAAACCTGACTGTACACTCAAAACATTTGTACAATCTTATGGCCCATTTACCACTGAGTTTCTTAAAGTGCGCATATATTTTAAAAATCATTAGAATAAATGAAAATTGGAACAAGATGCTACTTAAGAGCAGGTGCTACCTAGAGATGCCTGAGCAATGGTGCTCTATGAATTTCTCCTGCGAAGTGAGCAAGCCTCTCGACTATAGAAATGGAGAGACAGTATGCTTTCCAGATGCCCTGTCCCAGGATATCAGATTAAGATAGAGACAACAGGATATTTGGGGTTTTTCATGTTTAACCACCGAAACTAAGTACTGAAAAAGCATGCTTTCTAAGGAGACACGGAATAGTTGAAAAGTTAACAGCTAGACCAATTGATTGTGTTTTGGAAAAGGTCACACTGGAAGATTCATCGTGCTGCAGGGCATGCCCAGTGACTCTGAAGACAAGAGAAAGAGTGGTGAGAGAGAGCTTTCTAAGTTGGGGAATGCTCTAGAAAACCACTGGATGGTCTAAGAATATCTCATGAAACACAGAACCCCAATGCAACTGTAATCTGAAATGTGAGGAAAGGGTTATTCTTAAAAAATAATTGTACTCTTGCAAAACGTATTGTTCTTCAGCTATTGACTTTTTCAGGTTGAAAAGTTGAGCATATACTGAGGATTTCCATTATTTGCTTAGTGTTTCTTTAAAATTGTATTCTAACCAAGGCTATGTATCTCTTCTCTCTGTTTTGGTTTTTGTGCCTGCTCTGCCCCAGGTTGGCCTTCATTCTACGACGTGATCAATTCTGAGGCAATCACATTCACAGATGACTTTTCCCACGGGATGCACAGGGTGGAAACAAGCTGCTCTCAGGTGAGTGAACCCCATCTCAAAACCCAATATGCTGCTCACATTGCAAACACTTTCAAGACTCTTGGTTGTGCTAAATATAGCAACTAAGGCAAAGTGACTGGTCACACACAAGAAGGGCAGACAAGCACAATGAAATCTATATAAAGTCCGAACGATATTTGTCTCCAGGGGTTTAGCAAGTCTAGAGAAATGTCAGTCATTGGCTTCAATACTATTAAAATCAGTGATAGGAGAAAGTCATCTTCAGGTGACTCAATGTAGTAGGGAGTAGTTTATTCGGGGGGCAAAAGAAGATTTCATTACAAGGCATTACATGACCTGATATTTTGATAATCCCCTTCTCTTTGCAGATCTGTGCACCCACTGTTCAGTTGTAATGCCTCTCGCGGCAGTGATCCAAACAGTCAGTGAAGACCCCAGAAATGGCTTTTCTTGGGTGGATGTGAGGAGGCTGGTTGGAGAGAGGCTATAGGAAGCGGAAGTTCAGTGGTAGGCTATATGAGGGCCGAGTGGGAATAGGAGATAAGGTAATTCTGCCTCTGCTTCTCTCCATACGTAGACTTATCCTCATTTCCAAGGATTTTCTAATGAGTCCTTTCAGTTCTGCCCTAACCAAATTCATGCCGGCTCTAAAGGAGAAAATGAGCCTGTGTTGAGGCAAATCTGTCATCCCCAGTCAAGATATGAACTTGTGGGTATTTTATGCTTAAACCCAGAGACATAGTTAGAACCTCCTCGTACACAGAGTAAGTACATATGCTGATAGAAAGTAGTCCTGTTTTTCTCATCTGCTTTAAATAAGTGAAATGTAAAGTCTGGGTATTGTGGCATTGAAACTCATTGATGCTACAAAGTATTTTGTTGGCAGATCTATTGGATGTATCAGAGGAAAAGGGACACAGTCAGGCAGCTGTAGTAGCAAAGCGATGGCCACGTGGGCCACCTGCTGCATTCTTTACCTGCCCTTTATCCCTTTTTCTTTAACCCCCTTCATCAGGCAAAAGACTTTTAGGGAGTAGGTGGCATATTTACTACCAAGTAGGGAGGGAGATTGGTTTGACCCTAACCATCTGATGAATTTTTCTCACGTTTTTTTTAAAAAATAAGGCTGGCAAGTTTACTGTCTTCCAAGGATGAGGACTATTCTCTCCTTTGAAAATTAGACTTTATGTTTTATCTAAATCACATTTTTAGTTCCCCCTTGTTTCACAAAAATGAGTCTCTGAGCATGATAGTGGAATTTTCTAATGCCCTGGTTTCACCCTGAGATTTTAATTTGATTGGACTGGGTACAGCCTGAGAAGCAGCATTTTAGAAATCTCCTCTGGTTTAATGGTCACAGTTACCCTATGAGGTAGATACTGTTATTCTCCCTTATTTTATAGATGAGGAAACTGAGACACAAAGAGAGTAATTACACTTGGGTAAATTCGTGTGGCTTTAAGTGGCAGACCTGAGACTTGAATTTGGACAATGTCACTCCAGAGCTCTTTATGGTGCCCAGATGAATAAATAGATAGAGAGATCGACAGACAGACAGACGGACTGGAAAGAATTATTAAAGTAAAATAAATCCCATGATCCTCCAGCAATTGGTTTAATGCAATTTAGTTTTGAATTCAATTGAATTTTAACTGATGATTTTAAAACTGTGACAGAAAGAAATTTTCTACTCAAGGATCTAAAATATTTGACAAGAAGGTAAACTATAAGCAGGATGGTACACAGTAATTTGTAACTTATGTACATAGTACTTAGTAAACCTCTTCTTAAGGCTCATAGCTGTTTCTTTTCTTTTTTTTTAAAGCTGCCTAAAGGCTACTATATGACCACGGCTCTGCTTTCCACTTAGAGCCCATTTCTAAACATTGAGTCCTATGAAAACTAAATCAGAAAGGCACAGAAAATGAGGCATAAGATGATAACTTTCCTTAAGGCCGTATTCTCTGATTTCTTTGGGACTAATTCTTATAATTCATTGTTGGAATACGGTTTCTCCTTTCTCTGTGCCAGCCACAGAGATAACATCAGTAGTAGTCAAGGAAAGACCATTAAGAAGATGATCCCAGTGACCAAAAGGAAACGAAACCTACAAACAATGCCAAAATTAAGCAACATTCATAAAAGAAGTCAAGTTAAACCAAGCATAGCTCCTTAGTCCTTTGGTTAAAGCCCAACGTGACTGTTGGCTGTTCTTTGGGTACTTTCCTAGCACTTGTGTGAAGAACTTACCCTGACCTGTTCCTTTTGGCTTCTTTTTCTACAATCTTCACTTCTCATATTTAGAAAGTCTTTGATCCTTTCTTAAATAAAAGTCTTAAATTTAAAGAGAAGAGAGGGAGAAATCGGTTCCACTAAGGCACATATAAAAATACCTGCTTTGCATGGTAAGTTCCATGTAGGAGATAAAGAGGTTCCAGCACTGAAGGATGGTACGTTTGCTGGACTTTTCCCCATGTGGACAGAGCGGGGTATGCCTGCCACCAAGTACAATAATGACTCTTTAAATTAAAGTGGGCTGAGTATCTTTCATTTCAATTTCTTTGTCTCGTATTCCATGCGTGTTTATTTTCCTTTTGTTCTACAGTCCTTTTCAGTTTTTTTTTTTTTTGCTTTTCTCATGTATCTTTTTTATTTTGACTTGAAAAAAATAACTGATTTACTGGTTCCCATACTAGAGCAACTACTGTGTTTTACTTTCTAGTTTCTCATTCTCAGTGCAATTTTTCATTATCAGTTTATCTTTTTTTACCTTAAAGTTTTCAGTATATGTAGTTTCTTCTCCTGCTCACAATTTCTCCCATTTTTTAAGGGTTTTTTTTTCTTTTTGATGGTGAGACAGTATGGGAAACTTCTCTGGTTTGCTTTTCCTCTTTCTAAAATTCTTGTTGTATTTTGAATTCATATGGCTTGCTTTTTCTCTGGACTGAATTGCATCAATGTGGTTTGTGTTATGAAGAATCTATTAGATGCTTTTAGTATGTCATAGACATTCTCAGTTGGATATGTTATGTGGAGTACTTCTTTCCTTGCGGTAAAGATGGAATAGTGAAATATGAAGACTCTTTTACTGCCAACTTATACAAATAAACTGACTTTCCATGGATGATACCAATAAACTCAACCTGTTTGCCTGGAAGTATGGCAATATGTTTTTGGTCTATTCGTCCCTAATTCTTGCTTTAGTACTTAGGATCCTTTTTGTTTTTTTAAATTATGGTGGGGATAACACCATGCATGCAGTGAATTAGCCCTCAAATTTCAGTAGGAACTGTAGACACATTGGGAGCCAATAACCCACCACTGCTTCACAGTACATTGTACGTAGTTTTTCCATGTGTCCAGTGACTTCTTAGGTAATAATATTTTTAGTAAAATATCATTGAGAGAGTTGAGATTGGTTTAGTTCTAGCACCACTTTTTCTGGAAGTTTCGCACTCAGGTCCTTCTGAAAGAATCATGGTGTAAGAAACCTAGCACACAGCTGGATCTTTGAGTTAACAGCACAGAAAACAAGTAAGGGTGGGAGAGATTGTTCTCTAATTTCATTGTGATTGCTGTCTAGGGAGGTAACAGGTTACCCTGTTGTATTCTGATTTTTGGTGCAATTGTATTTGTTTTCTTTTGCTATTTCACCTATTGAATTGAAGAATTACATTCCAGTTATCTCTCCCAATGAAGATCTTTATCTTAAATTTGCCTGCTCTGGTGGGCCTATGTATCTTGCCCCAGGCTGTAGCCACTTCCTAACACTTTTCAGTTATAAAGGATTTTCCTTAATTTTATTTAATTTATATTTTCAGCTAGTAATAAAATACATTGCCTCTCTTCCAGTTTCACTGACTATAGTGAATAATTGTTTGACAGCTTCTCCCTAATCCTCCAACCCCAGCCTGTTAAGCGACACTTTGTCAGGAGTTTAAATTCAGTGCAAAGAGGTAAGATTTGCATGGTTTAAGCTGTAGTTCAGTGAAGTAAGTTCCTCCTGGAAATACTTGGGGGATTCTTCCTTCTTGAGATCAAAATTCTACATCTGGAGCAAATGGGAGACTAATAATTCACTTAACTTTTTGTAATAAGCTTTAAGGAAACCATCAGATCCCTGAGTTTACCCAAGTTGTAGTCTATTTATGACTGCTGCTATTACTGCTTGAGTCTATGGTAGAGTCCCTGAAATTTGTTTTAGATCATTAATTTGTTCTAAGTCAAGCAAATCAACAGAAAGGTAAATATGCACCAACACAAAGTATTTTTCAAAAGTTAAGCAGTTTTTGGTAAAACCCCGAACCTTATTCATCGTCTGCAGATGACAGCTCATATATTGCTGATGATTAAAGATACCCACATGTTACAATAGGGTTTCAGACTTGCAGCCCATCTCTCTTTTTCTTTTCTTTTTTTTTTTTTTGAGACAGAGTCTTACTCTTTTGCCTGGGCTAGAGTGAGTGCCGTGGCGTCATCCTAGCTCATAGCAACCTCAAACTCCTGGACTCAAGTGATCCTCCTGCCTCAGCCTCCCGAGTAGCTGGGACTACAGGCATGCGCCACTATGCCCGGCTAATTTTTTCTATATATTTTTAGTTGTCCAATTAAGTTCTTTTTAATTTTAGTAGAGACGAAGTCTCGCTCTTGCTCAGGCTGGTTTAGAACTCCTGAGCTCAAACAATCCGCCCACCTTGGCCTCCCAGAGAGCTAGGATTACAGGCGTGTGCCACCACGCCCAGCCCCATCTCCCTTTTTCTTGATCTTTCAGTAAAATCATAGTGCTAAACTGGTGACTTTACAATCATTTCCTTGGCAAAGATTAATATCACAGGCACAGAGGAAAAAAGCCCCTACTTACACAAGTGTCTTCAATAACAGTGGGAGAAAACAAAATACTACTGGAAAGTAAATTGCTTTTCTTCTTAAAACTGTTTTTTCTCTTTCCCATCCTGCCCCATGTGCCTAAAAGCCCTGCTTTGAAAGTGCTTCATATCATAGATGAAACACTTAAGAGAAAATGACAATAATAAAGGCCAAGCATCCTAGGAATAAGTAGGAGAAACCCCTCTAAGACAGTGGGAAATACATCAGTGCAGAAATATGTAACTGTGTTGAATATACTGTTTGTGTTTTTTATGCACACGATTGAGAATTGCAGTCAGATTTTGAGGAATTGTGTTAAATTTGATGCTCAATCACTTATTTTAGGGGGGTCTTTTCCCTTGGTTCTCTGCAGGTTCTTTAGTTGCCTACTTTTCTGAGTGGGAGGCTTAGGTGGTAAAGGATTCCTGTGGGAATTTAAAATTTTTCTTTTGAACAGTTACCTGATTCTCTTTAGAATGAGGACTAGAATATTCAGGTATAGTTCGTATTTACCTATAAAATAAAGAAATACAGAACCATTAAAAACCACGTTCAAAATGCACACCAAAGATTCTATCCTAAAATAAATCATCAACAGCAGGTTTCAGAGATTTCTTCACCAGGCAACCAGTTTGTTTCAGTTACAACCAGGTGTGCTGAGAGAGCCCAACACATAGCCAGTTGGCTGGGGCGGGGGAGGCAGAGCTCACAGGCGGCTAAAGAAACAATGCATCACTGACAACTTCCATTCATCATCCAAGCCTTCGGCCAGGAAAGAATGGGCTCCATGTGCGTTCCCCGCAGGGAGGAGCCTTCAGGGCTTGTGCACTTTTAAAAGAAACTGGGTAATAGTCTTTTCTGGGAGACTAGGTATACCTGGGAGAAAGCACAAAAGGCGCTGCACGGTCAGGCTTCCCTCAGACGAATGGCCTTGTGGCTTTGTGGGCAATGGAGTGGGCATGTATGCTGTGCCACGGATACAAATGAATACCTTGCTAGGTTCTGAAAAAATATTTCTCCTTTCTCAGTAATATAAGGCTGGTGTGAATCTTCCAGAACACTTTGTGGCAAGCATAACGAAGCCATAAGTATAGGGGGCTCAAACCTTTTCTGAGGATTTCCCTACCCTCATCCCCAGCTCATATACTTGTTTGCAAAAGATTTGTGTTGCCTTTTCCTAACTATACTTTCTCCTCCTCACCTCTCTTTTTCTTTTGCCTTGGATTAGGGCCTCATCTAGAATCAGTGTTTTTCCTTCTGTTTAACCAGAAGACTAGATCCAGATTAGCAAATGAAACTACAGACTGAAAACCAAACTCAGTTCAACAAATTAAATTACTGTAATTTGGATTTTTAAAATATGATTTGGGAAATTAAGACCATATATCTTACTCCTAAATGGCTTCAAGTATATCCTTACTATGCTTTCTTTTTGGAGTAATGTAAATAGAACCATTTTCTAAATATGCTCAAGAGGTTATTAATGAAGGCAATTATTTATATTGCCTGGACAGCTGTATTGTCTCATTACACACACACACCCATCTAAGGCTTTTATGTGTGTGAAAACTTCGCCTCTCAGATGCCAGGTGATCAAAGTGCCAGAGCTGCATGTGAGACCAATAATTGTGCACACACATTGGTCACCAAGAGCACTAGTTCCTGTTGGCCCGCACCCCGTTCTGGCAGGCAGAAATGGGGGTTTTCCTGTGTCCATTGGGCAAGCATATGTAATGTTACTGGTGCATCTTAGCTGCTGATGCCTGAAAATTTGGCCTCACTTGTTTATAGAAAGGAAAAGCAATCTGAGCTGTCAGCCTTGATATTACCTAAACCTGCAGAGAATGTGGTAAAATAATGCAAGATTTGTTTTTTAGGCCTGTTTCATATTTTCCAGGAAATAGATCAAATCAGTTCAGGGTTCATTTTTAGTTTTTTTAATAAGCTGACACAGTATGCTGGCAGTAAAATAAGAATGCACTTTTAACATGGAAGTGCCATATAGTCAAAGCTGCTATTTGTGCTATTTACTAATAGCCAGGGAACCCTTGAGAATTGAGTCTAGCACTTTCAACAGGGAAACTAAGATTCTAGTTCTTTCCATTGTAATGAGCACCCTCCCTCATTTCTCTCCTCATCTCCATTTGGTATCTCAGCCCCAGTCCTTATCAATTCATACTCTATTTCCCTGCAGTTCGTAAGTGTTTATATACCGAAGCAGCACAGTGAGATATAATAAATCATCTATATACCTTTTCTCTCATATTCTTGTCTAAGTCTTGACTCTTCCCTCTCCTTGAAATGCTCTCCCCTAGATATGTACTTCCTTCAGGTCCTTATTCCAAAGTCACCACCAGGGAGGCCTCTCCTATCCACTCTGTCTACAATGTCAGCCACCAACCCTGACACTTATATTACTTTCCTTTGTTCCCCCTCCTTAGCATTGATTTCTACATACCATACTTTACAGTTCACTTATTGTCTTGTATATTGTCTGTCTCTCCCACCAGAATGTAAGCTCTATGAGGACAGGAATTGATACCTGTACCTCCAGAGGCTAGGACAGTGCCTGGCATGTAGCAGGCACTCCGTAAATATCTGTTAAAACAATGAATGAAAGTCATTTACCCCAGCCTTTGGTTTCTTTGTTACACGATGATCGATGTGTTTTCAAAGCCTGTTGGAATGTGGTGCACTAATGTCTCAATCTCCTTCACCCTTCTCTGCTGAAAAAGGATGGGAGATATGTAAGCGTGACATCATTTCCTGAAGCTATACCCAGCACCCAAGCAGTTAGTGCAGGGCTGTATTCAGTGAGCCAACCTTTTTGGAGAAACTTTCTCTGGACTTGATTTCTCTTAAACACCATCATAACCAACCATCCCTCCTTCTGCCTCTGTCTGGACTCTAGGCTTCTCCTTCCCAGCTTTTTGAATAGTCAGTAGCATTGATTTTAGCCAAACAGTTTATTCCTTCTCCACGTATTACAGTTCATTTGGGTAAAGAAGCCAGCATGACACTCCACCTATTGGAAGCCAGGAAAAAACAATCGTGTGGCCTGGAGACGTTTCCATTTGCTACACTTGCAGCCCTGGTGACCGTGACATAAATCTATTGAGCCTTGCCATTGCTTCGCTAGGTTCCAAGAACATCCAATGCTTGTCTGATGTTAAGTTTTACTGTCCATGAAAGCAAACATCACCTCCGTCATGGCCAGTTAAACAGTATCTTTTACAGTGGACTTCTGCATATCTGAAACCCACCCGTCCAAAGCCAAAAGTAATTCTGGGGGAGAGATTTTATTCTGCCATGTTTCTTACAAGGGGAGATCAAGGGTCAACTCAATTCATAAAATTACTGCAGTCATTTTTCAGCTGGCTGAGAGACTTTACAATCAGAAAATACAGTGGCTCCGAAATGATTTCTGATATGCACAATTCTAGTGTTTTTTATTCTCAGCATGTGGTACAAAGCCTGCCAGAAACCATCTTTGCAGCTATTGACAGGCGGATTAGGAATCATCCACGATGGTTCGCATCATTCCTCTCCAGGCTGGCCATCCATTTAAACTGCTCACCGTGAGTTCCTCAAAGCACAAAGCTTTGTGCACGCTTGCCCTTACCTTTTGTTCTTCTCTTTCAGTGTGGTGCTCACCTTGGGCACATTTTTGATGATGGGCCTCGTCCAACCGGCAAACGATACTGCATAAATTCAGCGTCCTTGTCTTTCACACCTGCAGATAGCAGCTGCGCCGAGGGAGGCAGTGGGCTCGGCAGCCCAGCCCAGGCCGACAAAGCGGAGCTGTAGAGTGACAGAGAGTGAAGGAGAATGATGGAAACAAAGTGTACTTAATGCACAGCTTAGTGAAAAAAAAAACAAAAAACAATCAGAATTGTTTATCTTCATAGATATATTTTTTCAAAAACTATAAGGGCAGTTTTGTGCTATTGGTATTTTTTCTTCTGTGTAAACAGAGGCCCTGGCCATCCATGTATTTTGCTATTGACTAGATCAAGACCTATTTATAGCTTTCGCAATCGGAGATAGCTTTGTGAAACTTCTTCACAAGCCACTTGCATACCCCTTGGCGTTATTTTCTTTGAGCACACAGCTGCTTTTGCAGTTTTCTCCCCCTTGATTAAGAGGCAGAGGGTGCATGGTCTTCAAACGTGAAAATAGAGATCTCTGAAGTAACGTAGAGACCAGAGCTGGGAAGTGCAGGGTGCGAGACCTGTGAGACACATGGCCTTGAGGCCTTTGGACAGATCCACCCACGATAAGGATGGAGCGATGTCTCACGAGACTTCGCAGCTTTGTGGAAAGTTTGAGCTAAGGTCATTTTTTTTCTCACTAAAAGGGTGTGAAGGTCTAAAGTCTTTCCTTATGTTAAATTGTTGCCAGATCTGAGAGGGAACACTGAGTGTTGTGGCAGAGAAGTAAACATTACCTCACCTTTAGTCCTTTATTTTATTTTATTTTATTTTCCATTGAAAACATTGGAATGTAAGACAACTGTAAAATGTTGAGCCCCATTTTGTCCAAAGTTCACAAAGAAGAACACCTGCCCATTGCCTTTTTATAAGTCCTTCTCTCCACACCTAATACCAGCTGCAGCTGGAAGGGCCTTTGGTGAATTCCACTGTGTAAAATAAAATATTGGGGACAACACACTTCATCAAGGCGGCAGAAATGAGAGAGAGCAGAGAAGACCAAGGATGGAGTCTTGGGTACTGAAAAATCCGATGCTGGGCAGATAAGCTGACAGGATGCTGTACGGAACAAACAAAGCTTCGGTGACCTCCGGAAAGATGTTGGGGATTAAAATAGAAATAGCCAGAAGCTCAAGTTCCACACTTGCCACTAATCTGCTGTGTGACAAGGGACAAGCCATTTAGCCTCTCTGTGCCTATTTCTTCCTGTATCAACTGGGGCTGATAATATTTGTAAAATGTATTGACACTCTCAGGGCAAACTTACTATATTGCTATACCATTAAGATCAGTGTTGCAAAATTAAACTGATCTGGTTCTAATTGCCTCAAAGGCCGAAGCCCGGGCATTTGAAATGGAAAGCAGCAGAGAGAAGGCTGACTTAGCTGACTGATATGGAAACAGTTGGGCCAAGAGCCAGAAATTTTTTGTAGCAATATGGCTAGTTTTACTTTGAGAAGCTCTGCTCGGTTGTTTCATAACATTTATTACGGTGGAATGGGTGCCATTGTGCACAGTAAGGTTTTCACAGGTATGAGCAATGGTGAGAAGGTATGGTGTGTGACTAATGCATATCGTGTTTGTAACTTTGAATGCTATTCCTGAAATGTAGTTTTAAAAAATATTACTTTTTGTAAATCTTTGAAAGCTTATGAAGACTGACATCTTTCCTTGTAAACCAAGACAAAAATAAGAAAGAGGGACACTTGATAATTTTAAAGAAATGACAAATTAGAATGAAAAGTTGTGACAAATCAAAATGTCAGTGTGGCCATGTCCACATTCTTCTGTGTCTCCACAAGCACCTGTGGGGAAGCCTTGACGTCCTGGTGACTCTTCATTGTCACGTATGCTGCAACTTTGTAATTCCAGATGAGTCATCCAGATGTCTGGATGCTTAGATAAGAGGTTGCTATCTGAGCGTCCACATGCTCCCTCAGCTCTGAGATGTTTCACCCCAGGCCCTGGGGTCACTCCGGAATTCACAGGCGTCACTGCTCTCTAGCAGTGAGGTGTACAATTTAAGACCAGGCAGGCCATCAGCATCCAGACCATCCCAGAAGTCTTTCCTGACCTCGCAGAGGAGCCCCCATGTTTCCCAGCAACCCAAGGATCCCACATTGGGGTGGCTAAAGAAGTGGGTCTCCCAGAGCATCGTTGCACCTGCAGTCCGTCCTTCAGAGGCGCACGACGGTCCCGGCTATATGCAGTAGCCTCCCCTGGGGTCCGTTGGGTATGAGCCACAGTGTTAGGGTAGACAGGGACGATAAATGAGAGACTTCTTCCTTCTCCTCAGAGACTGGATTGTCATTGCTCCTTCGTTTTGTTGTAGGACTTAACATTCTGCTCAAAAGGCCTGTGTACAGATCTTTTTCTAATCCTCAGTCTTTGTTTCAAGGAAAGCCAGTTTTTCTTCTACCATGCTTTCCAGCATCAACTTTAAGAAAAATGCAACATACATTGAAAAAAAAAAGTAGGGTGCGTGCATGTGGTTTAATTCCAGATTGCTTTTGGGTTTAAGTGGTATCAAATTTCAGTATATTTCTGTCTTATGTTAAAGAAATATATTACTAAAATGTCAGTGAGCAATAATGTCAGCTGTCGAGCACTAGATTTATTTTTGCAGGATATGGAGTGCAATGAACTGAGTCAATATGGTGAGGTGTATGTGATCTGTGGAAGTTATGCCATTTAACATAGGAAGTGCAAGGGACTTTCCCTCTCTGCACTCCAGCTCTCGCTGTACCATTAGAAGATGCAGAATTCCACGGGGTGCAAAAACTATAGCAGGATGGATACTTCATGCAGATTGGATCTAAAGAAAGCAGCAATGTCTCTGTCGTATTAGAGAACATTTCTGTGTGTTTAAACTCTTCACTTCTTCAACGTACTTAAATTCTTAATGCAGATGACGTAGCAATTGAAAACCTCTCCATGTTAATTGTGTTTAAAATGTCTTGCTTTAAATATGAAAAATGATAAAGGGGGATTACCTTTTGTTTTGAAGGTCAAATATTATTTTTGTCTTAGATATCTTTGTAATAATTTTTCTCCAGACAGTTCAAAACTTTTGAAAAAATGACATGAAATTTTCATTAAAAACCCTTTTCCTATGTTTATTATATACAGAAATTATACAATAAAATTTCTTTATAAAAATGTTTTCTTCTCTGAATCCTAAAGACTCCTCTTATTTTTAGCACAGGTACATGGACTGGAGTTTGTAATAGACTGCTGTTTACCTCCTTACCCAGCTGACGAGTCTGTAGTTTGTAATCCGGGGCCTCTTGTCTGATGTAGCCTTTGGAAGTTGGGTCTCTCACAGTGGGGGCAAGTCCAACTCTCCATACCCCATGCCCTAGGAAAGGCCTCCAGGGATCTGAAAGACTGGAGGAAAGGGAAACATTTGTAGAATTATTGAACCTTCACCTCACCTCACCTCAGCAAAATCTTCAGCAGCTTGTGTATGTTTTTGTGCTTAAAATAAGGACTTTGGGGAGTTCCACCTTGGCAACACTACGGATAAAAATATGGGAATGATACCATGCTGGTGCCTAGGCTTCTGTTTAAAAATTTGACAGGAAATGGATACTATTGTCAAGGTTGATCTCCAGGGAAATACGTTAGGAGTTCCCCACTGCTCACAGATGAATTCACCTTTAACAGTCACCTCTGCAGATGAGTTTTGGTATAGTATTACTTGTTGTTGCAGGGTTTAATTCTGTTGGTTTATTTATTTTGGGGAGGAAAAGAGGGGTGATGAGGACTTTTGTTTTTCAACCAATTCTTTAAGTCACATACCTGGGATCCTAAAATTCACAGGCCAGCAGTTTCATGTAGTATACATTAGAACAGCAGTTCTCATAGCCTGGTTCTCAGACTGAGGCATTAGCATCACATGGGAACTTACTAGGAATACAAATTTTCAGGCCTCATCCCAGACTTACTGAAGAAGTAGTTCTGGAATGGGGGCCTTAGCAATCCGTGTTTTGGCAAGCCCTCCACGCGATTCTTGTGCTTGTTCAAAATTTGAGAACCACTGCCTTGGAATTTTTAATAAGAAAACTTTGATTAGTGTTAACTTTAAAAGCATTTATATCTGACCCTTGAAAATGGCTTGTTTTGTCATCACTGGTTTTCTTTCTGTAGGGATGGGTCAAAGAGTTTTCCCATAGCTTCCTGCCTTTCAGCTATTCTTGTCCTTCCCTGCCCGTTTATCTTGTTCTGGAGGACTCCCCTGTCCTTATCAACTAGCACCACCTTAATTCCTGTCTGCACTTCCAGGGTGACCTGGGCTGCCTGTGACGTGGTGCTTCCCAGTGCCTGTCTAGAACCGCAGGATGTCCACGACGGGGTCATCTCAGTTATCCTAAGATTGGAGAACAAACCTCAGTGCATAAATATACATATGCTCTTTCCCATCTCTTCTATTTCCTTGTACCTGTACTTTTAAACATCATCATCATGAAGCTTTTTTAGCCTTTCATGAGATTTCTGCGAAGGTGCCAGATGCCCAAACCTTCACTCTTTTTTGTCAGAAAATTGTTACCGTTATACAGATCTTAACAACAAAATGACTTCTAGGAGATGCTGGCATACAAAAAAGGCTGAATTTAAAAACTGTTTAGGGCCGGGCGCGGTGCCTCACGCCTGTAATCCTAGCTCTCTGGGAGGCCGAGGCGGGCGGATTGTTTGAGCTCAGGAGTTC